TCGAAACAGTGTGTTTTCAAAGCTATTTACACTGTCTTCGGGATTAATCTGAAGTTTTGTAAAATTCATATAAAATAGATGAATGATCAAAATGAGATGATTCCAAAACTAATATACTCGTATGATACCAACCTACAACTTTCATTTAGAAAATATAATCTGGATTGGTCTCTAAGTAGAGTAAAAATGCTTATAAATAATAGGGACGGAAGCGGTTGGATCGAAAGAGAATAAGGCTAAGTTTTACGTTTGAGTTTTCAATTCGTATCGGGATGTTCTTCTTGAAGTCTCTGTTGTTTAAGTACATTAATACCTAAGTAATTTTATTAGAATAGTTATATTATGGTTTTTATGCCTTGCAAATAGTAACTCGTTTATACATTCATTAGGCACGCGGACAATTCAAACTTGATCGTGAATTTCCGTTTGATCGTGAGTTAATTATCAAATTCGGTTAAGTTACGGATTTCATATCTCACTTGACACGGGGATAACCATTTGTATAAGGCCTCCTAATCTGAATATATTGGTTCCAAATTCTCATTGTGCTCATCAATTGCTATTGAGCTTTTGTTTCCTTTCGAAATATGATGTACATTCTTATTTAGAACATGGATCATTTTGATCACTTGACTTGTTTGATTGCTTCATTTGTGAAACATTTTACTATAGACTCAATAACTTGAGTACCGGTATTGAGATGTTTCCTTGGTGGTTAAAACGATCATGGCGTCCTCAATTTTATAGTCCTTAAAGGTAGACTTGATTATATACCGGTTGAATAGAAGGTGTTATCGGATAATAAATTGTGGCCGTGGTTAAATCCAAGGAGAGGATTGTTGTGTTGTGCTCACACCCCTTTCCTCACTTATGCTTGAATGAACTGATCATCTTTTGGGAACAATGCGTTCTCGTGATGCGGTTTGGTCTTCGGACCCTTGACATGCTTTCGGGCATTTTGACTTTCTTTTATTATCACTTAGTGTTATAAATTGTTTTTGAACTTGTTATCTCATATTCATTGTTTAGTAATATTATTATCCGTTCACTGAGCATTAAACTCAACCGCGATTTTTTTGTCCTCAGCAGGCACATGACTTAGCAGGGATTCTGGGATGAAAGCTACATAATGACAATATTGAAGATAACTCATTACGTCATACTTTTGCTAACTTTTGATGACTAATATAAATATACTGGTATTTTGGGTACGTATTTTGAGACACGTTATCTCCGTCTGTGGTTATGTAATTATCTTTTGGTAATTTTATTAATTGCTCTGTTTTATATAATGCATTGATTTTTTTTAAAACCAATTGTGGCATCTCCTGTCTTTAACCACGCGAGACGGGGGTGCTACAAGTTGTGACATCATTGTTTATTACATGATCATCATTACACTTATATAAATAGACAGATATTGTGAGATAATATTATTGTTGGTTACTTGAATTGATCAGTTCATTCAATTCACACTGTGTTCCATAGGTTCTTATTTTTGTTTTAAAAAAAATTGGAAACTATATATCATTCGGGGAAGAAAAAGGATCACATCTCTTGGCTTGGGATGTCAATGAATTCAGATCATTTATGTGGACCATGGAGGCAAGGAGCTGCATTCGTAGGCTTAGATACATAATCTACATCAAAGGGTTGCTCTTTTTGGTAAATTTTTGAAACACTCATCCTGCTCCGTTTCGTACAGAATCTTGGAGAAATACTGTTATTTTCGACTAAGTGTATAGTTCCAATATCCCAACACTTCATCAATTGTAAAACTACAGATTTATCTTTTGATCGATAATCGATACACTAGATACCGCCGACGCCGAGCTATATGACTTTGCTCAGTACTTTCTCTGTAGTCAAAAGTCAAACTCATAATGAAATTGAAACTGCATGCTTTAACTGAGGTTGTATTAAATGTTGAAACCCTTTGGAGGATACAAACCACATATCTTACGTAAAGATATAGTTTGGACTCTTTCTACAACCACACGCTTTTTAATTTCACAATGGGAATTGATCAAGTTATACTAAATTGTATTTTATGCATTAATAATTGTATCTTACAAACAGGTATTGGTTCAACAATATCTAGATTATTGACAGATCCCTACTGCATAGGATTTTTCTTAGGATCCCTTTTGTTTGCAGTATTGTTTTTGAGGGATTTTGATTGATATAGATTTGAAATTATCGGTGTGTTTGGTTGTAGGATTAAGAATGAAACTGGATTTCATTATTTATATAAAAACTACAAATAATTATAAATAATTAAATTACATTTTTATTAATCGATTATTACAAAACACATGTTTTTAACATTTTTTAAGACTTTATTTCATATAATGCTACAAAATCCCGTGAAATCCCGAATACTCCCAAGGATTTCAAAATCCCATGTTTTTAGGATTTCAAATCCGGACAATCCAACAAACCAAACACACAATTGAAATGGATTTGAAACCTAAATCCCTCCAAACCAAACGGGACCTTACTAAACCTAATCCCGTAGCATTATATACTGTATTGTAAACTCTTGCTTCTGTCAGGATAAATTTGGCCCCTTCTCCTGTTTGTGCCTATGTAAATAGGATATTTTAAGAAGTGAATATCTTTCTTAGTAGCAACTAAGGAGGACTGGGGCTTGAGGGAAAGAACAGGAAAGGTGATTTCATGCAGGAACATTCCCAACTCTCTTGAAGGTTAAGAATTCAAGTCTCACAAAAAATGAACAATAAATATAAGTTTTTATCGTATATAAATATATTGTACCTTACAGGGTTTGACCATTTGGGATCTTAGAAAAGCTCTGTTCTTTGCACAATCTGCAATCAAATTCATCTGCATCTATGCACATGAGCAAAGCAGCAAGTAGCAAGATTCATTGGCAAGAAATTCATCACCTTTGCCCATTATTGAAAAACTTTAAATGCAAGACAAGTGTATTTCAAGTTACTCCAACCGGTTGACTTTCGAAAAGTCAACCATAAATTGCATAAAACCCGCTAAAAGTACACAACCCAATACAAAGACAATGAAATGGCATGCACTACCCAACGTAATATGAGCAACAAATGTGATACTGACACAACTCTCTTTGATGTCGTGGGCGGTATGTCTAATGAGCTTTTTGTACTAGTGTTCGATCTTTAGAACACGTATAAAGAATTTGAAGCCATTTCGAGATAGGAAGTACTTGAAACAATATATTTGCATTGCATATAAAGTATTAGTCGAAGATGTACATAGACTTGTGCATAACAAGTTGTATTAAACAATTATTTCAAGAATTACTTCTAAATGGGTATATGTATACTTGAGATTCATGTACCTGGATGCAAAATTTATGTGTAAGATCATGTTTAACAATCATAAACTAACTTTTTTTAAGCTTGTTGAAAAAGACCCGTTTGGTAAATCATAAAGCTAGTTTTTTTGAGAAACTATTTCAAAAGCTTATTATGGGGTTCACTTTTTCCTATTATACCTTTGTATTTTCATTTTATATTATTTCATTTGTCATCTAGCTTACCAACTACTATTTACCAAAAATGACTAAGGGGTTGTTCGGTTCATTTTATGTTTAGACCTATATAGATATAGTTGTCTGTATATTAACAGATTAGTTGTTGTTCGGTTGTTGTGCTGAATGAACAGTCTGAATGTCAGAAATGGTCATTTTACCCCCGGTCTTTATTTTTGTCTGGAAAAAAAATACAAACATCAAAGTGAAACCCTCCTCCCCCTCTTCTTTGTTCTTCTTAGCAGGAGGATGTTTCGCCTGAGCCTTAGGCGGCCACTTCCCCTCTCCTCTTGCTTTTTCAACAAATCTCCAATGTGAATCGAAGCGTGAAGTGGAGTTTTTGTAAAATAGGGTTTTTTATTGCATTGGTAATTAAAGAAATAAATAAGAAATTACATGGCTGAGTGTAAAGGAGTAATGGTTTTTAGCTGACCGATTAAGTCATCAGTTGAACGAATAAGCCACAACCGAACAACTATTTATGGCTGAGCGAATAAGCCACATAGGCTATACAGCCCATTAAGCCACAACCGAAGAGGTCCTAATAGCTAGCTTATGAGCCAAGACCTATCTTTTCAACATCTGGATTACCAATAGTCTCCTCAGGTTGTCAGGGGTTCAAACCTCATAAAAAATAAGGAAGGTGTCTGAATATATATAATTACTATATACTTAAGAAAAACTAAAATTTCAACTAACAACTAGGTTCTCGACTAGCTTGCAAAACATAGCCTAAATGTATGTTGGGAAGAATGAAAATTTAGCCAAAAGTTGAAATCTTTTAGAGAAAACCAAGTCATGATCGTAACAGCAGGTTTCAAGTCTGAATGTTTTGAGGATCATCAAAATTTATGAGGTTGTTTATGAAGACAATGGTTTGCATAATCCGACGGTGATGAAAACAAATGGCTGTGCTCTTCCACAAACAACACCCATGTGGGTCCATCACATGGGATACTGAATGAACAATCCTGATTACATCCCTCCCAGACTAAATCTTGACCGTCAGATGATGGGAAAGTCTCATTCCCATATGGGCGGCTGAGCTTGTCTAACTCTTGTCCCCTAAATGTTGCAGCACTTGCCTCAAAGCTGCTACTAATGCTACCGACAGCTTAGCTTGCCTTTGTCCTTAATTCATTCATTCATTCACCTCTTCTTTCCTCCACCCATTTTTATCTATACAAATTAATTAAATATATTCATCCCTCCCTCCGATTCTTGTAATTTGGTTCTTAATTTCCTATAAAACTAAAAATGTTATATAAGTTCTATGACAAGAAAAAGAAAGAATCAGTTATCTCACCTCCCTCCCCCACCAAGAAAACATTAAAAAAAGAAACTTGCCTTTACCCCACCCCCTCTTCTTTCTTTCTTGCATTCACATTCACATTCATAGAAATATATGTATATATATATATATATATATATATATATATATATATACCAACCTATCTAACATTTCAATCAACAAAAAGTCTTGAAAGACAAACCAAATTTAGTTGGTCCAATTCATCAATACATTTTTGAGAAAGAAAAAGCGAAGAGCAAAATGAATATGGAGGATGGTTTGAATCTTACATTGGGATTACCTGGAAGAGGAGAAGAAGAATCAACCGTTTCATGCTTCAAGAACAACAATAAACGGTCGCAGCCTGAAACCAATGATGACTGCAATGAATCCAACCAAGCCAAAGAGGGTGACATGGAAACTTCACCTGCAGCCAAGTAAGTGAATTAATTAATCATACACATGTAGTCGAGTCTTTTAATTTGGTGATATGTGATTAAATCCAATTGATGATGGCAGATCACAAGTGGTTGGATGGCCGCCAGTGCGTAAATACCGAAGGAACAGCTTCCAACCAAAGAAGACAGAGGCAGAAAGTGGGATGTATGTAAAAGTAAGCATGGATGGTGCACCTTATCTTAGGAAGATTGACTTGAAGGTCTACAAGGGTTACCCGCAACTCCTTGAAGCTTTGGAACACATGTTCAAACTCACTATTGGTGTGTATTCTGAAAGAGATGGATACAAAGGGTCTGAGTATGCACCTACATATGAAGACAAAGATGGTGATTGGATGCTTGTTGGAGATGTTCCATGGGAGTAAGTCCCATCCTCTCTCTCTCTCTCTCTATATATATATATATATATATATATATGTTGATAGAAAAATATACATTGTGCTTATAAATCCTATGGTTTGATATGCAGAATGTTCATGTTATCTTGCAAGAGAATGAGAATCATGAAAGGATCAGAAGCTAAAGGGTTGGGGTGCAATGTATGAAGGCCACCAAACCAAAGATGAGATATCAAGTAAATCATGGAGTGGAAGAGAAGAGATGGAATCTTTCAGCTTGAGTTCTCCAAGAACTATTTTCATAATTTTGAATATGTCCTCTGTATCAATGAACTTTTTACTGGAGAAGTTCCAAGAAACTTAGGCATTACTGAAAACTAAGTCAATCCAAAGTATGTGATCATATATAGTTTTGCTTTTGTAAATTTGTGGCAGGAATATCAGTGATGTTTTTTGATGCTGTATGTTTTGTTTGAAATAATTTTTTTTCAATTTGATTAAAAATTCCACACAAATACATAAATTCAAAGCAATTGTATAGAAAAACATACATCTTTGTAATGTATATTTTTCTAGCGTACCAACTTGTTTTCTTCGATTGCTACTTAATTTGGCTATCAGGTGATATTCTTAGCAATCTGAGATCCAAAGACAACTACTTTGGAGATCAATATATTGTTACGTTCCGAGTCACAAACAGCTTAAAAGAAAGACTGCCTAGCTAACTATTTAAAAACAATCTCTGTGCAGAAAATCATGAACAAATTCATGTTGAAAATAACTATAAGAAAAAGAAAACCAGAAACAGAAATGGTCTTAAGTTGATTGTGCATTCTAATTTGACAACCAACGATCAAGGGCAGGAATTATTAAAGGTCAAATCTCCAGCAAATAAGATATCTTCCAAACATGTTATCTCTGATATCAATCCAATGCATATCTTCACACAAAAGCCCTTAATACAGTTCAAATAAATCACTAAATCCTGTTCCAGTGCTAAAATAGTTGCAACTTTTTAGTACTATCACTATAGAATGTTTTTCTCTATCAAAAATAGACAGACATGTTCTATTGATTTCAACAGCTTAAGGTACAGTTTGATTAAACTATAGATACACCAAACTGTTCTCCAGTGATGTGAATCATTCTTTCATTTTACATATTTGGAATGGATGACTTGTATAAACTTAATGGTATCCTTTAGAGGTGATTATAGCACTGATGACAAACCTACATAAACCCCACAAGTTATGTACATGTATAAAACTCTCAAAGCAGGTAGGCATGCAGAAATGCACTTTTTAACAGTAAAAATTTCCTAATAGAATAAGCAAATGAATAGAAATTCACATGCCACATGAGGCCTTTGATGGTCACGGGTGTGATCGATAAAAGCCATTAACTGTTGAACATTGTTTCTACCAAATATTCCAAAACATTAATTGAATGGGAATACTAATCAACTTGTTCCCTTGTCAAAATAGAAGAGGTTCCAACTGTATTGCTTCATGAGGCTGCAATATAATTTATTAAGATGTTCATAAAAGTAGACGTGTCGGTTTGTTATTCGACTATTAAAAGATATTCCTAATAATTATGCTAGCTGATTGGTAGGCAGGAAATACCCCAGAACCAACTTTAGCGTTAAGATTGAATATAATATACTCTAGTTTACACCTTTATTTGTGCTTTGTAGACATTTTTTAATGTAAAAGTCATAATACAAGTTGTAAAGTATGATCCTTTTGGAGCCTTGTGTTATTAAGAAAAGATCTGTGATCAATTTTTTAACTCAAAAGATGGGATTTATAATTTCCTATCAAGTTTCACTTTACTTGGTCTCCAAATTTTCTATAGGTAATTTAAGTTTTCAATGTGCAATTTGTTTAATCAAGGTACAGGTTCAGTGAATTTCAAGGCCTAAGCACATGTTTACCAAAGTAAATAGTACATTGAGTTGGGCTTTGGCAAACATTTAGACAGAAAGTAACTCACAGTATCTGATTTACGATACGCAAAATCAATCTCCTTTCTATCCGCTCACCAAGACATAAGCATCTTTTTTGTGGATCTAGTTGTCTGCTTTATCCCTTGGGTACCCATTTGGGGACCTAATACTACTACTACTCCTCCTGTTTGTTTTGTCTTTCGAGGTTAAGCAAACTAATTTTCAATTTTCAAGAAAATGTTTATGACTACATTCATCCTTATAGAGAGGACTACTATTTGGGAAAATGTTGATGATACAAATTTTATTCCAATTACAACCTAAAGATTACTAGGTTTGACCGTAAGTGGTTCTCTTGGGAGTACCTATCATGAGGAGCATACCGATACGATTTTCTACTAACAGGTTGACTAAGATTTCCTTGTTCATGAACTAAAAGTGATTAAAAATAAATAAATTGACTGTAAAGTTAACCAAAATCCATCCTCTCTTACATACTGGTTAACAACAACCAAATTATTGTCCTGAATAGTTAAGATGATAAGTAAAGAATAAAATATCAAGTTTTTTTTTTGTCAATGCATTATATAAAAGGGATAATCAAACTAAGGCCAATATTCATGTGGGAGGGAAAGGGGCCACTAATCATTGATTCTATGTTGGTTTTATATTCATTTGCCAACCCACCTTATCTCAAAACCAGGGATACTTTGAATCACCAAAATCCATCCTCTCTTACATACCTAATTTCGATTTTATACTTTGAAATTGATGATCCAGTTGTGATACTAAATGATTCTGTGTTATTTGATGGACAAGTGACTCATACTCTGTTTGACTAAACAACAAGGATGATACAACTTGAATACTTCATATAACATAATATACATATGGAAGAAACACATCAATGCATGTATCAGCTGAATACACAATATACATACACCATACATATGGAAGACTCGCAACCTAATCCTAGTATTTTTTTTTTACCTTTTACTGTTTCAGAATACAACCCCTTTAACTGTTCATAAACCAAACGAGCAACAATATATCCCACCTGTAAGATGCATGCAGACCTGACCTCTACCCCAAGGAGTAGAGTGGTTGTTTCCGTGAAGACCCCCGGCTTGAGAAAAGAGTGAGAAAGAGAGACAAATAAAATAAAATGGGAGACTAAGGGGCCTGATATAACCCAGAGGGATACTATTAGTTACTTGGCTAGAAGGAGTAAAGGGATAGGAGGGGTAGTTGTTTTAATAAGGTTGTAATCACAGCAGTCAATAGGGGCAGGGGCAATTTTGGAATTATTGGTATTCTGTTACAAGGGGTAAAAAAGGAAATGTAGCAGGAGTAATCTCTTAAATAGGTATGAGGGGCTTTGGAATGGGTATCTGATTTGTAAACACTGTTTTGGCATGAACCTAGGGAGACCCCAGATCCTCGAATTGCTGGAATCCATTAATCATTCGGTTGCAATATCAATTTCACTTGGTTTTCATCTCAGTTTGTATCAGGTCTGTTTTCCAAATGCTTACATGGGTAAGCGCTTACCTGTATAATTCAAAACTATCACTTACTTACCGTGAAAGATTTTAGTCCACCAAAACGGTATTGCATGCAATAATTTACCTGGTACTTAGCATATTTTAAATGATGTTAATTATGAAACATATATGAAATTAATTGGGAAATATATGACATTAAGATTACGCAAACTAATAAAAAAATTGTTGGTTTTGAAAAGCTATGCTACATCTTTCAATCATCTTACTTGCAGTGGGTTTCATAGGTTTGTGTTAGTCACACACTTCATTGACTTGGGTCCAGGAAGTCGTTATAAAGGCAAACCAAAGAACCTAATATACTCGACAATTCTAATATACAAATTGAATATTTCATATATTTATTCATCAAAGATAAAAGGTGATGTAAGTGACAAAACACGCGACACTTGATTTTCTGCTGGTCACAGGTGACATTGTAAGAAAATGATTGTGGATTAGCTTTTATAAGACATATAACACCCCCATCATTTCAAATTCAATGAAGATATAATTTCGCTGCTTAGAACTAGGTGATGGGTCAAGTTTTCGAACCCAAACCTTCCAAGATTACATTTTCACATTATTAAAACTTCACAGGTGTCGTCCTCTTGACACAATATACCTTTTTTATTCTACACCTAATAGTCATATCTGGCCTTAAGAATGGTTCATTTGACCACTAAGCTGAAAAGTTTCTATGATTTTATAGGGAGGGATTTCTGCCAAGAATTATACTTTCACTATATGCTTGGTCTTTATGGATTGAATCTGTAGATCCTTTTCTTTAATCCAAGCAATCTTTTCTGTGAGTGGTCAAAATCCTTCAAAGTAAGATTTAGCACTTACAATGGTCTCAACGATCGGATGCACTCACCATATCATTCAGAAGTTCAATACATCTGTTTTTTCTCAACATATTTCTTTAGGAAAAGACTGCCCAGATACTAATACATACATCGACAACCATGAACATATTGAGGTAAAACATTTTGAAGAGTTAATAGCAAAAAGGTCAGACTCCTAATCTAACAATCGGAAAACAAGAAAAGTAAAAAGAAACATCATTTATTGCTAACATGTTATTCTCAAACTGTTGAAAGTTATTACAATTTACAAAATTATTTCCTGAAAACTAGTGCCAAGTCAAAGAGGGTTTAGAAAAGAAAGGTTGCACAATCGAAGTAAAACCCAAAGTTGGTTATCAGCTACACTTGACCAAGCCTAGTATTCATATTATTACTATAACTACATGAGCAACAACGTTAAGTAATAATTAAGTTAAAGGATAAACATTCTACCTCATAATTAAAGCATTGAAGAATCAACATTACAATGATCAAGAACTAATTAATATATGGATGATTATCCTTCCTGCTGATTGATCTAAAACCTACAATAAAAAAACAATAATCTTGATTAGATCAGGTGACAAGAAGATTCATTCTATACCAATTAGTATATGCAAAACTAACGTATCATGCATCATCCTGAATATTAAGCAAGTCCACACATACTAAAAATTTGCAGTCATCTGTTGGCTTGTCACCTCCAGGCAGCAAAGCGTTAAGGGGATTTGGCGCATCAAATAAGTGCTTATTTTCATCGTGCCCGTTCCTGCTGGTTATCCAGATCTTCAACTGTTGTACGAGTATAAATATAAGAGAGAGAAACTAGATGTTCAACACCCATTCCTCAATTCTCAAACTTCATTTCTTCACAAAGTAAATCCAAGATAAAATTTATGCTAGCAGCACTTAAATGTGATAAATTTCCCATCACAAACTCATGCACCACAGAGTCCAACTCAATCCAACTGGAGCCTCTATTCTTCTTCACCCGATTCAATCTGATCATTGCTCTCACTTTAGCAACATTGTGCCACTCTCCTGACGCAGCATACAAATTTGACAAAAGAACGTAATTCCCTGAATTATCTGGATCAATCTTAAATAATTCAGTTGCTGCAGCTTCAGCCAACTCAATGTTGCAGTGAACACTACAAGCTGCAAGCAGAGAACCCCAAACAGCTGCCGTGGGTGCCACCTTCATGCTACAAATTAGGTTATAAGCATCCCTAAGGCACCCAGCACGGCCTAGAAGATCAACCATGCATGCATAGTGCTTATCTGTTGGTTGAATTCCATATGCATCTGTCATTTCTTTAAAATATCTCCAGCCTTCGGCAATAAGACCTCCATGATTACAAGCACTTAGAACACCAATAAATGTTGCTGCATCAGGTTCCAAATTATTTTCCTTCATCTTTTCAAACAAAGAAATGGCCTCATGACCCAAGCCATGATTTGCATAGGCTGCAATCATAGTACTGTAACAAAACAAGTCTTTTCCAGAAATCATTTCGAAAACTTGTGTAGCCCTTTTAAGGCTTCCGCATTTTGCATACATATCAACTAAACTAGTGGCCACATGTAAATTGGAGAGGAGACATGGACCCACATAGTCACTTGTTATTGACTCAGCCGCATCTAAAACACCTAACTGTGAACAAGCCGAAATGATACCAAGTATAAAAGTTTCATCTGGCTTAATGCACTGCTGCTTAAAGAATTCTAGCAACTCTAAAGCAGTTCGTGGTTCTCCATTTTTAGCATAACCTCCAATCATGGTAGACCAAGAAATTAGATTCTTCTCAGGCATCTGATCAAATAAAATCTTTGCATCATTGATATTTCCAGATTTCATGTAACCATCAATCATCATGGTCCAAGAAGCCACACTCCTACTTGGCATCATGTCAAAGTAGCTTCTTGCAGATTCAAGATTTCCCACTTTACAGCACCCAGAGATGATTAAATTCCAAGATCCAACATCATGGCAAGGCATTGTATTAAAAATATATATAGCAGCATCAAGGTCCTGACAGCTTACATACCCAGAAAGCATAACATTCCATGAAGCCAAGTCTTTGACAGGCATTGCATCAAATAGAGCCTGTGCCTCCATCATGTGACCATCCTTCACATACCCACATATAATACTAGTCCAAGAAATGACATTTCGATCAGGCATCCTACTGAATAACTCATGTGCAATGTCAATTTTACCGTTATTGCAATACCCAAATATCATTGAATTCCAGGACACTATATCCTTTTCATGCATCTCCTCAAACAGACATCTAGCCAAATCGATTTTCTCACATCTCATCAACAAATCAAGCATAGAATTTTGCACCATCACGTCAAAATCAAACCCACATTTTAACACAAATCCATATACCACCTTCCCATCTCTTAATCGAGCTTCTCTAGCTAAACCTTTTAGCACCGTAGTAATAGTAAAATTCAAAGGCGCAACTGAATGTCGAAGCATTCTTAGAAAAAGCGAAAACCCTTTTGAATAGAGTTTGTTTTCGACATGCCCATGAATCATAGACGTCCATAGGAAGACATTTGGTTGGGAAATTTTATCAAACACTTTGTGGGCATCTTCGGCTGATCCAAACCTGAAGTAAAGGCGAATAATCTTGTTGACCACGATGTCAGAAGAAGCAAATAAACCGTTTACTACAAGTAGAGCATGGGCAGAGTTTAAGGATTTGAGGGTCTGGCAATTATTGAGTACATTTAAGAGAGAGGATTTCATTTCATGGCGCCAAAAGATAGTAGGCTATAACGGTCATCCGACACAAACGGCCGACTAGGAATGAAGTTATAATTTGTGGGTATTTGATTAGATCTGAAAAAAAGGGAGTATCCAATTATGGGCTCTGCAAGAAATGGATCCTTTGCCCTCCGTTGGATAGGACACGTCTCTTAGAAGAGTTAACCGGTGTGTGTTTGTATATTTTCAGTTTCCCATCTGGTTATTCAACGATTGAATCGCCATACAATATATCTACCTGAACAGTTATAAAAAAAAACTAATGGATTTTAATGTTTGAAATGATTAAGTTTTTGTATAAATTTTTGAAATAAATAAGTTTTTGGACATTTTAAAACACCTAAAACCTGTTAGATACATTCTTATGACCTGTACAACTGGTAATGTGGTAAAATAATGAAAAAAATCCAAAAAAAACCTAAATGAACATTCATATTTTGAACATTTGGTCTCTAAACATTTTTTGAACCAAAAAATATTTAGATCTATAAGTTAAACAAATAAAACGAAAAAGTATTTACATTTATAAAAAAAATAATTACATTTACAAAATATATTTTTGATAAAATATATTTTAATTAAAATTAAAATATATTTTTTCAGTGATTTTTCAAACTAAAAAAATAAAAAATAAAATTAAAAACAATTACTGATTAAATTTATTTTAATTAAAAATAAAATATATCTCGTATGTGATTTTGAAATTAAAAAAGAGATTTAAAAAGATTACGGATGAAATTTATTTTAACTAAAAATAAAATATACTTTGT